AAGGATGGGATACCTTCTCTTCTTCCTCTGCCTCCTCTTCTTTCTTCTTCCCCTCTCTCTTCTCTGGTTCTGGTTCTGTTCTTGCCTTCAATTTTTTTTTTTTTTTTTTCTAAGCCCTTGTAGTCATACATCATGCCAACTACATCCACATCATCTTCAATTATTTCCAACCCATCATCAAACTCTATCGGAGTAAAAAAAGACAACTAGGTGACTTACTAAAATATCCATTATAGTTGATCTCAAAAATCAAATTGTGACATCACTACATACCATAAGTCAACAAAAATAAACAATTTCAATAAGCCAATAACAAAAGTGAACATAAATGAACAAGTCAAGAAAAAAAAAGTGAATATATATGCACACATCAACAACAAAAGCGAACTAATATTTTAATAAAATCAAAATCTGCATTGGGACCACTACAAAACCTCTAATATTTATAAGGCTATATATACCCCATTACAAACAAAATCTCCAAAAAAGACATAATGCAGAAGCCTAACTCACATAAAAACAAAAGTTGTGCATTGAAAAATCCCCAAATTTAACAAATTATATGCAAAGAGTACACAGATATATATAGACATATGTTCACATATAACATATATATACACACAATAGTTGTCAACTATGTACAAAATAAATTCTGTAAAAGATACATACCTAAGATAAAATATGCATACTTAAAATGGATTCACTATTTCATGAACAATAGGATGGATTTGGGGGAGAAACCCTAGTTCGATGGCAAGAACCAAGAGAGAGAGAGAGAGAGAGAGAGAGAGAGGGTATTTGAAGGGGCAGAGTTTATCGAGCTAGGTTAGGCTCAGATAGGATGGTCAGCTTGGCCTAGAAGGGACGGTCTGCTTAGCCTGTGGGCGTGCTTCTGACACTACAACAAATTTGGGATTTAAAGACGAAACAAATTTGTCCCAAAATATATATATTTCGTCACTCAAACTAATTATGATGAAAATTTTTCGCCACCCGTTTTGTCGCCAAAGCGTCGTCGCTAAAGGGTCTTAGAGACGAAAAAACAAATTCGTCATTGAAAATGATAAATTTGTGACGAATTTTTTTGTCTCCAATACACTCTGTTGGGAACATACTTGTAAGCAATTAGCGGCAAAATATTCTGTCATTAAAAGAAGAAATTAGAGACAAAAGTATTTTGTCATAAATATAAGAAATAAAGAATAAATAATTTTGTCACGTTTAATATAAACGAAGATGAAAAATTTTTGTCAAAGAAGTTACCAATAGAGACAAAAACAAATTCATCATTAAAAATGATAAATTTGTGACGAATTTTTTTGTCTCCAATATACTCTGTTGGGAACATACTTGTAAGCAATTAGCGGCAAAATATTCTGTCATTAAAAGTATGATGAAAATTTTTCGTCACCCGTTTTGTTGCCAAAGCGTCGTCGCTAAAGGGTCTTAGAGACGAAAAAACAAATTCGTCATTGAAAATGATAAATTTGTGACGAATTTTTTTGTCTCCAATATACTCTGTTGGGAACATACTTGTAAGCAATTAGCGACAAAATATTCTGTCATTAAAATAAGAAATTAGAGACAAAAGTATTTTGTCATAAATATAAGAAATAAAGAATAAATAATTTTGTCACGTTTAATATAAACGAAGATGAAAAATTTTTGTCAAAGAAGTTACCAATAGAGACAAAAACAAATTCATCATTAAAAATGATAAATTTGTGACGATTTTTTTTGTCTCCAATACACTCTGTTGGGAATATACTTGTAAGTAATTAGCGACAAAATATTTTGTCATTAAAGAAATAAATTAGAGACGAAAGCATTTTGTCATAAATATAAGAAATAGAGATGAAATAATTTTGTCACGTTTAATATAAACAAAGACAAAAATTTTTTGTCAAAGAAGCTACCAATAGAGACAAAAACAAATTCGTTATTAAAAATGATGAAATAATGTCAAAAAAAATTCGTCACACATTGAGAGTAATAACGACAAAATGTGACAATATTTTTCATCATGACAAATTCATTTAGCGACGAAATAAATAATTCATGACAAAATTAATCTTCCACTTAAGCCAAATAAGAGACGAAAAAACCTTTTTTAGGGATGAAAAATTTTGTCACTAATTCCATAATATTTTTTTTCCACATTATATACATATTTTATCAAAATCTGAATTTTAATTCAACAAATGTAACCCTGTTTATGTTGAAACCTGTTGAATATAACAATTCCATCACAACTTAACCTAACCTGTTATCAACACATTTACGAATTAACAAAATGAAAATATCCATTCATCATTACAAATAATTTCATCCTAATACAATAAAATAGTGCAATATCCACAAAATATCCAAAAGTTATAACTTGTACAATTCCACCAAACATCCAACAATAACTAGTGCAACTCCACAAAGTATGTGTATCCTTATCAAACAAAAATGAACATGCAAGCAAATTACATCATTGTTGCACGTCAAAAATGCCACCCCAATCCAATCTGTAAAAAAATAAATTAAAAGCTTTAGTAATTAATTAATTAAATAAAAGATTAAAAGCATTAGTAACTCATCAATTCACAATTAGATCAATTATACAATTTATCCCTTTAACAAACTTTTTTTTTTCGAGATTATAAGAACAAAAAATTAATTTTAAGGCTAATTCACAAATGGTGCACCCCATTAATATGTCGTAAGTTCATACAACTTATATTGGTCCCTCCTAAGGTGTTTTTGTTGGTTCCTGTATAAATCTGTGGTTGTGTGATAATTTAGCTTTTCGACGGCCTTTTTTGAAGCTTTAAATATAGAGAAAAAGATTCACAATTTAGACTAATTCACAATTTATACATCCCGTGCACCTGTACAAATTGGATGTCCTATGCATGTTTCCATTACTTTCTAATTCTTCAAACATATATTCTGTTATAAAATTTGTTATATTAAAGTTAATATACTTTACCAAGAAGTATGTCTACTTGTGGATGAGTCCCCTCCACTTTCAAAGTGTCCAGTGAAACCTTTGGTCCTCAAAAAGTTGACAACATCAGCCATTATCTCCCCTTGCTTCTTCCTACCCTCTTCAAGATCTTCTATTTTATTGTTCTGCATTTGTATTTGTTCCTTCCGTGTCTTTATTTGCATCTCAAGGCGCTTCACATAATCATTTGTTTTAGCATATGTGGTAGTGGTCCTCCTAATAGAGGATGAAGGTCTCATGCCAAGTCCCTTTACATAGCCAGACCTTGGCTTTAGGACTTTGATTGACAGCTCTTTTGTAGTCAAAGGGGTTGATCCCGGCTGTAAGAGGTGATCAGCCTATGTCTATATCATATTTTCCTATCAAATATTAAAAAATTAAATAATTATTAGAAAATTAAATAAGATTATAACAAATAGTATTCTATATCAAATATAAAAAAAATTAAATAATTATTAGAAAATTAAATAAGATTATAACAAATAGTATTCTAAAATTTTGTTAATAAAAATTACAATATATATTCACATAATTACACTGAGCTTTAGACGAGATCCACTGATGTGTTTTCTCATTATAGTGAGTTTCCTTGTAAAACTCTGCTAGATCAGGTAGCATCTTCTTTTCTCGTGCCTAATTTGATAGACCAAATATTCAATAAATAAAGCTAAGAATCTAATATAATTTTTAAAGTGATACGTACCAGTTTTTCTACTCTAACAGGGATTGACCTAGAACCACACCCATGTTTTGTATACATCATTTTTCTGTTCGCGATGTTGACCTTTGATTGTTCCTATAAGGAAGAATGACCAATATAACAATGAAATGTATCATTAATAAGACAAATATGTTGGCTTTTGATTGTTCCTGTAAGGAAGAATGAACCAATATAACAATGAAACGTATCACTAGTAAAACAAATTTAATGCTTGATAATAAAGAAATTGCATTGTTCCTATCTATCCTTTTCCTATATATCATTTCAACTTAAAAGATATTTCAAATTATTCACTAGTTTCATTCAATTCTTTGAAAAATAGGTTAGAGGACTTGTTGAGATTTCATCATAAGATGGTTTTTCTGGGTGAAAAAAGAAAAACGAGTAATTTACACCGTTCACAAATAAGGGGCATATAAGCATGGGCAAGATAGATTGTGAAAAAATCCATTTACATTTCACAATATATGGAACAATTACTGATACCAAACTCATAACCCTTTCTTTCTTCCACAACTCTATCAAATCTAAAGTTCTGTCTTAATACCCTGTATTAGTTACTCAGCTAGTTGCTTACCATTATCATGAAACTTCTGACCAAACTCAAGAACAAATAGAAAATACAATCATAGAAACTGAAATCTTAGTTCTTTATTCTATGATGTGAAAGATGCACTTTAAGGAACCATAAATTAATCTTCTATTATGTGAGCCTTCCAATCTATGTTTAATAGTTTCCCTTTCTCATTTTGCCACTTATTTGGTTTTTATTATGTTCCACTTACATGCCTAGAAGATAAAGGAAAAAGAACGCATATGGAATTTCACAGCAATTTGATTGTGCTCTTTCTAGTTTTTTTTGGAATCTCTCCCTATTCTAATCAAATTCTTTCTTCACTGATATAATAAAAAAGATGAAAATGTTACTAGAAATTCTTTAGTGTTCCACTTTTTATCAATAAGATCTATCCACTTGGTAGGATCAACATTCTTCGGTGGGTGGTTTCTTGCATACTCCTCCCCTTTAGCCTCCTTCAGCACCATGAATTGTTTGTGCAACCTATAGGTATGGTTACTCAATCTCCGACCAAATTTTGTGTTCATTGCCTTCTCTATATCAACAGGATCTCCTTGTAAATCAAATTGATCTTACAAAAAATAGATAGGTCATAGATAATTCCTATAAAAAAATAAAATAATTACAATAAATAATTAAGATTTCTAACCTATTATAAAAATGGCTAAAATGTCCTATAATAGAGTAGACAATGAACTTACATTCAAGCGTTAAAACATTGCCTCCTTAACGGAGGCATCAACATACTTCCACCTACGAACACTTGGATCCGGTAAACGTGTTCGCACCTTTACACCAATCTTTGAGGCTAGTTTTGAGGCATAGTCCCCTACCGGTGCACGAAATTCTGGAGGGATAGGCAGGTTAAGCTTTCCATCTCTATCAACAAGGCCTTGAACCTCTTTGTCTCGAGTCGGGCCACGAACACGCTTAGCAGCTGATATTGTGAAGCCATAATATTGAAATAAATGTGAACAAATTTAATTAAGATCTCAAATCAATGTAAATAAAGAGTGTGCCTTACCAATAGTATTACCAGCAGTCACCTCAAGTTGAGGCTCCACATTGAGAGGTGGTGGCGGATGGCTAGCCACCTCAGGACGTGAAGAGGTATCCCCCTCTTCTGATGCGTGGGTCAATGCCTCAAGATGAGATTGTGAACGGGCTCTCGATGGTATCTCTAACTGCTGAATAACATAATAAAATATGAATATATGTACAAAGATATGCATGTCTATGTGTGTATGAATTGAAAGTAACAAGAAAAAATATATTTCACAATGCATAAATGTATAGTACCTCATGCTCAAACGAATCATAGGATTCAGTCTCATTGCCATCTTCAGCCTCTGACGGTCGATAATCATCGTCATTTTCCTCAATTGGTATTTGTTTTTCCTTCATCAATTTCTTATGTTGAACCGTAGCCTTCAAACAAGTTGTTATATTCTTCACTCCTAGAGCATTCATTCTCTCACGATTTTTATTAATTGTCTTCATTCTTTGTTTCTCATAGTTCATTACCTTCTTAGTTGCGGTACTTGGTTTGGTCAACTAAGAAGGTAATGAACTATGAGAAACAAAGAATGAAAACAATTAGTAAAAATCGTAAGAGAATGAATGCTCTAGGAGTGAAAAACATAACAACTTGTTTGAAGGCTGCGGTTCAACATAAGAAATTGAGGAAGGAAAAACAAATATCAATTGAGGAAAATGACGATGATTATCGACCGTCAGAGGCTGATGATGGCAATGAGACTGAATCCTATGATTTGTTTGAGCATGAGGTACTATATATTTATGCATTATGAAATATATTTTTTCTTGTCACTTTCAATTCATACACACATAGACATGTATATCTTTGTACATATATTCATATTTTATTATGTTATTCACATCAGGTTTGTCACACTCTTCATTTTGTTTGTCAGCTCTATTCCCTATCATTGTTTCATCAGATGACCTAACCCTTGTAACAACTTCTGCTTCAACACCATCTCTATAACATTGAACATTAGGGTCGATGTCAATTGGAACAACATCGGTAATATTTTCTTGTTGGAACACATCGTTTTCTTCTGGTTCATGTAATGATCCTCCATCACCTACCTCTGGTACATCAAAGACACCCCTATGTTGCACTCGTTGAACGACTTGCCAAGGTTGTCCCCATTTGGTATCATTTAGGTAAAAGACTTGCTTAGCCTGGCTAGGCAAGATGAAAGGGTCGTGTTGATACCACCGACTTGTGACATCAATACTTGTGCAATAATCATCAGTTCGCAATGTTCTACTTCGACCTGTATTTCCTGTGTTGTACCATTCACACTGGAACAATACAACTTTGTTATGACACATGTACTCCAATTCCCAAACATTGCACAAGTGACCATAAAATTCATGCGTCACTCCCTCATGATCCCCTTCCGTAAGCACACCACTATTCTGACTGTTACGGCGATTGTAATAGGTTAGAAATCTTAATTATTTATTGTAATTATTTTATTTTTTATAGGAATTATCTATGACCTATCTATTTTTTGTAAGATCAATTTGATTTACAAGGAGACCCTGTTGATATAGAGAAGGCAATGAACACAAAATTTGGTCGGAGATTGAGTAACCATACCTATAGGTTGCACAAACAATTCATGGTGCTGAAGGAGGCTAAAGGGGAGGAGTATGCAAGAAACCACCCACCGAAGAATGTTGATCCTACCAAGTGGATAGATCTTATTGATAAAAAGTGGAACACTAAAGAATTCCTGGTAACATTTTCATCTTTTTTATTATATCAGCGAAGAAAGAATTTGATTAGAATAGGGAGAGATTCCAAAAAAAACTAGAAAGAATACAATCAAATTGCTGTGAAATTCCATATGCGTTCTTTTTCCTTTATCTTCTAGGCATGTAAGTGGAACATAATAAAAACCAAATAAGTGGCAAAATGAGAAAGGGAAACTATTAAACATGGATTGGAAGGCTCGCATAATAGGAGATTAATTTATGGTTCCTTAAAGTGCATCTTTCACATCATAGAATAAAGAACTAAGATTTCAGTTTCTATGATTGTATTTTCTGTTTGTTCTTGAGTTTGGTCTGAAGTTTCATGATAATGGGAAGCAACTAGCTGAGTAACTAATACAGGGTATTAAGACAGAACTTTAGATTTGATAGAGTTGTGGAAGAAAGAAAGGGTTATGAGTTTGGTATCAGTAATTGTTTCGTATTTTGTGAAATGTAAATGGATTTTTTCACAATTTATCTTGCCCATGCTTATATGCCCCCTATTTGTGAACGGTGTAAATTACTCGTTTTTCTTTTTTTCACCTAGAAAAACCATCTTATGATGAAATCTCAACAAGTCCTCTAACCTATTTTTCAAAGAATTGAATGAAACTAGTGAATAATTTGAAATATCTTTTAAGTTGAAATGATATATAGGAAAAGGATAGATAGGAACAATGCAATTTCTTTATTATCACGCATTAAATTTGTTTTACTAGTGATACGTTTCATTGTTATATTGGTTCATTCTTCCTTATAGGAACAATCAAAAGCCAACATATTTGTCTTACTAATGATACATTTCATTGTTATATTGGTCATTCTTCCTTATAGGAACAATCAAAGGCCAACATCGCGAACAGAGAAAGGATGGATACAAAACATGGGTGTGGTTCTAGGTCAATCCCTGTTAGAGTAGAAAACTGGTACGTATCACTTTAAGAATTATATTAGATTCTTAGCTTTATTTATTGAATATTTGGTCTATCAAATTAGGCACGAGAAAAGAAGATGCTACCTGATCTAGCGGAGTTTTACAAGGAAACTCACTATAATGAGAAAACACATCAGCGGATCTCGTCTAAAGCTCAGTGTAATTATGTGAGTATATATTGCAATTTTTATTAACAAAATTTTAGAATACTATTGTTATAATCTTATTTAATTTTCTAATAATTATTTAATTTTTTAATATTTGATAGGAAAATATGATATAGACACATGCTGATCACCTCTTACAGCCGGGATCAACCCCTTTGACTACAAAAGAGCTGTCAATCAAAGTCCTAAAGCCAAGGTCTGGCTATGTAAAGGGACTTGGCATGAGACCTTCATCCTCTATTAGGAGAGCCACTACCATATATGCTGAAACAAATGATTATGTGAAGCGCCTTAAGATGTAAACAAAATAATAAACAACTACCAACATCCACGGACACATGTCCGGATCACTGTACAACAAGGGTAAACCCGGGATCGCTATAGTTGTCAACTTTTTGAGGACCAAAGGTTTCACTGGACACTTTTAAAGTGGAGGGGACTCATCCACAAGTGGACATACTTTTTGGTAAAGTATATTAACTTTAATATAACAAATTTTATAAAAGAATATATGTTTGAAGAATTAGAAAGTAATGGAAACATGCATAGGACATCCAATTTGTACAGGTGCACGGGATATATAAATTGTGAATTAGTCTAAATTGTGAATCTTTTTCTCTATATTTAAAGCTTCAAAAAAGGCCGTCGAAAGGCTAAATTATCACATAACCACAGATTTATACAGGAACCAACAAAAACACCTTAGGAGGGACCAATATAAGTTGTATGAACTTACGACACATTAATGGGGTGCACCATTTGTGAATTAGCCTTAAAATTAATTTTTTGTTCTTATAATCTCGAAAAAAAAAAGTTTGTTAGAGGGATAAATTGTATAATTGATCTAATTGTGAATTGATGAGTTACTAATGTTTTTAATCTTTTAATTAATTAATTAATTACTAAAGCTTTTAATTTATTTTTTTACAGATTGGATTGGGGTGGCATTTTTGACGTGCAACAATGGTGTAATTTGCTTGCATGTTCATTTTTGTTTGATAAGGATATACATACTTTGTGGAGTTGCACTAGTTATTGTTGGATGTTTGGTGGAATTGTACAAGTTATAACTTTTGGATATTTTGTGGATATTGCACTATTTTATTGTATTAGGATGAAATTATTTGTAATGATGAATGGATATTTTCATTTTGTTAATTCGTAAATGTGTTGATGACAGGTTAGGTTAAGTTGTGATGGAATTGTTATATTCAACAGGTTTCAACATGAACAGGGTTACATTTGTTGAACTAAAATTCAGATTTTGATAAAATAGGTATATAATGTGGAAAAAAAATATTATGGAATTAGTGACAAAATTTTTCATCCCTAAAAAAGGTTTTTTCGTCTCTTATTTGGCTTAAGTGGAAGATTAATTTTGTCATGAATTATTTATTTCGTCGCTAAATGAATTTGTCATGATGAAAAATATTGTCACATTTTGTCGTTATTACCCTCAATGTGTGACGAATTTTTTTTGACATTATTTCATCATTTTTAATGACGAATTTGTTTTTGTCTTCGTTTATATTAAACGTGACAAAATTATTTCGTCTCTATTTCTTATATTTATGACAAAATGCTTTCGTCTCTAATTTCTTTCTTTAATGACAAAATATTTTGTCACTAATTACTTACAAGTATGTTTCCAACAGAGTGTATTGGAGACAAAAAAATTCGTCACAAATTTATCATTTTTAATGATGAATTTGTTTTTGTCTCTATTGGTAACTTCTTTGACAAAAATTTTTCATCTTCGTTTATATTAAACGTGACAAAATTATTTATTCTTTATTTCTTATATTTATGACAAAATACTTTTGTCTCTAATTTTTTCCTTTAATGACAAAATATTTTGTCGCTAATTGCTTACAAGTATGTTCCCAACAGAGTGTATTGGAGACAAAAAAATTCGTCACAAATTTATCATTTTCAATGACGAATTTGTTTTTTCGTCTCTAAGACCCTTTAGCGACGACGCTTTGGCGACAAAACGGGTGACGGAAAATTTTCATCATAATTAGTTTGAGTGACGAAATATATACATTTTGGGACAAATTTGTTTCGTCTTTAAATCCTAAATTTGTTGTAGTGTGGTTTCCTTGTTTAATTATTATTATTATTTGTTTCTTTTTATGGAGAGGTATTTACCGTGAGAAAGAATAGCAACTTTGCACAAAATGTCTTTTTGGATAATAATGTTTTCATGCACAAACGACTTAAATGTGAAAGAGAATAGAGGAGCTTCAGTGCGAAATAGAAGAGATGGTTTATAGAGATTGTTTTCTCGAGTCACAGCTTCAATACTTGTGAGAGAGGAGACTCAAGTGCGAGAGAGAAATGAGGGTTTGTAGAGGGTGACTTTTCGGGTCACGACTTTAGTATTTGTGTGTGTGTGAAAGTAAGTGATTAAGGTGAGAGTGTCTCTTAGTTTCTGACGACATTATAATAAAGAGAAATAATTAGTGATAAAATATTTTCGTCTTAAACTCATATGTTTGTTGCCTAATCAACAAAAATACAAAAACAACGTTGTGTGGGGATGGAGAATTTATTGGTGATGAAATATTTTCGTCTCCTTCAACTTAACCTTATGTGACGAAAATATATTTGTCGCGCAATCAATCAAAATGCAATACGACACATGGAGAATTTA